TTTACTATAGAAGATGTCGAAGAAAATAAACAAGCCCTATTGACACAAATCACAGATCCGGAAACATATTATGAACACTTTTCAATTTATCCCATGCATGAAAAAAAAGTAAATGCCACTGCAACCGACTTATATCAAATGCTTAAAGTGCTAGATGCTGCGCTAAATAATAGACACAAAGATTTAGATTTAAAATGTTTTCCAGATCTATACCCGTACGGAAAACATGGACAGAAAGAGGATACAATCGTTAAGCTCACGGATTTCGGATATATAAAATTAAGATTAATGTCTCGTCATTCACGATTTAGACTCAATCAACAATACCTTTTCTATTTATTGAATGATAATAATATGCGACAATTAAATAGTGGAATATTTCAAAAAATGAATGTTCTTAATCCGCGAGAAAAATATACCGCAGCGAGTTATCTGGAACAAATGTCTAAAGAGGAACTAGAAAGTAGTTTAACAACAATATTCTCACGATTACGCAATACACAACAGTATTGGCAAAAACCGAGAAATGAATTACGTTGTATGACGCAGCATTATGGTCCTGGAACCCTCAACTTATACTACTAATATGTAACATGTAAAATGCCTGATCGAAACATCTCGCCGTTATTATATCGACGTGTAGACACGCATCAGCGACATAGGCATAATGATTATTGTCTCCGTCGTAAAACAAATAAAGCAGGAAAGGTCAGTAGAATTTGCAGATTTGGATTTCCGCGACCAATTACAAATACGATGGTGATTAGAAACATAGCTACGTCGATTGCTGGCCGACGAAAATTAAAAACTAAGAGTAGACTTTATGATCTTCCTCGTAGAGATATCGAAGCGAATATCAATGATTACAATCCTACAATTCTTACTGCTTGGGAAGGGAACATGGATATCCAATTTGTCGGTGAGAAATCAGCTTTGTTAAATTGGTATATCAACAAATATACAACAAAGTCTGAATCTTGTACCGAAAATGAAACATTTGATGCAATTAAATCTACAAAGTCAGCATGCAGTCGTCTGTGGAATATTGCGTTACGTTCTATTAGCAATAGAGAATGCGGAGCTCTCGAGGCTGCAGATACGCTATTAGGTATCTCATTACATGGTACGGATCCTAATACGACGATTAGATGGTTAGATGTCAACCAGATTAGAAGTAGAAAAGTAAAATCATTAAAAGAAGTACAAGCTTTAGACGAAGGTTCTACAGATATTTTCTGTCCTTCGTTAATCGATGATTATTATCCTAATAGACCACTAGAATTAGAATCAATAAATCTTTATGATTTTGCAAAGTGGTACGATATTACTAAAATTAAACCCATAAATCCATATGTTGAATCATATAAAATCGGTACTAATTTGTATATAAGAAGGCGATTGCAACGTGGTTATTTGATCAATCACTACCGATATAATGTAAATAATCAACCAGAACGATATTTTTTCGCTTTATTGCTGTTATTTCAACCATAGAGAGATTTGAATGAATTAAAACATGGTTGCGATACCTACGCAGAAGCGTTTCATGCATCAAAATCGATATTAAGAGAAGCAACTGAGTATCATGAACGATTGGAAGAAATTGAAACTGCTTTCGATCGGGCGAAAGAACTGGTGGAAAAAAAATGGAAACGGTTAGCCAAGAAGATAATCAAAATTTTTCAAATAATTCTCTAGAATGTCGACCGATTGAAGCTGCGGAAGCCATGCAAGATTTTAAGCTTGTTGGTGACAATCTTCCAACACTTAACGTAGAGCAATTAATTTCTGAGCTAAATAAAGATCAAAAGAGAATATTTGATACAGTCGTAGATACTATTCAATCGGACAACGAAATCTTACGTCTTTACGTTAGTGGAGAAGGAGGCACTGGAAAAAGTTTTCTCATTAAAACACTTCGACATTGGTTGAAACAAAACTTGAGTAAGAATACAGCAATTACTGCACCCACTGGTATAGCTGCGTTTAATATAAGCGGTTTAACCATTCATAGACTATTTCAACTTCCCGTGGAACATGGCCATACGCCTAAGTATACTCCATTATCAGATTTTGTTTTAAAAACTCTTAGAAATGATCTAAAAGATGTCATTTTATTCATTATCGATGAGGTTTCCATGATTTCAAATATCACTTTGATGTACATACATCTTCGATTAGCAGAAATATATGACACAACTGATTGTAATAACGGTTGGTTTGGTAGAAAACATATTCTTCTATTTGGGGATTTGCTTCAACTTCCTCCTGTATATGAAGAACCGGCGTTTGTGTCTTTACTTAAAGCCAAAATAGAAAAATATCTGGGTTCTCTAGGAACGATTAATCTATGGACTACTTTATTCAAATACGATGAGTTAACAATTAGTATGCGTCAACGAAATGATACAGCATACCATGACTTACTCTCGAGAATCCGGATTGGTAATGTCACGAACAATGATTTAAAAACTCTTGAATCCAGACAAATTCAATTTAAATCTTCAACTGCTGCTCTCAGATTACAAGAACTTTGCACTTACATTAATAAATTACCCTGTGATGCAGTTTGTTTGTTACCTACTCGTCACATGTGCGATGTTCTTAATACAGCAATGTTGCAACAAATATCGTCGGATGAAATAATATTGTTGGCACGAGATACTATCGATTGTCCAGTTTATTTAAAAAAGAAGATTTCTACGATACTGACAAAAAATGATGAAGATAGTTCTCGAACTGCTGGTCTTTCTAAAAGTATAATTATTAAAATAGGAGCAAAGATAATGATTAGGAGAAACATCGACGTTACTTTAGGTCCTCCTTCCTTTCCTTATGGCTGACTCCTCCAATGAGGAGATGTGCCAGTACGTTACTTTAGGTCTTGTTAATGGCACCATTGGTCAGGTGACTTCTGTTCAACGAACTGTAGATGGAACAGATATTGAGGCGATAAAAATGAAGTTGCCTTCAGGAAATGAATATTCAATAGAACAGGTTACCGTAAAGTTTCAGGTGATGGACAGTGCCTTTGTATTTCGTAAGCAATTTCCCGTTTCTCTTAGCTATGGAATTACTATCCACAAGAGTCAAGGACTCACTCTGAACAATGCCGTCGTCGATGCTGGCAATCGTGTGTTCAGTTGTGGTCAAATTTACGTTGCCCTCTCGCGCGTTACCTCTATGGATGGAGTGCATTTGATCAATTACGATCCACAATCCATCAAAGCAAGTGAAACCGCAATTGTTGAATATAATCGATTAAAAAAATTATATAAACCCTAGGTCCCAGAAATTCCTATTCCAAAGGAACGTCATCGAAAAAGGACAGATTTCGTGTGGATAACAGACACAAATATCATTGATGTTCAAGAAATGATACAAGAAAATACTGCTACAGTCCATCATAACGTCAAAGGATTAAAAAATATTGATAACGTTTCTTGCTATGCTAATGCAATCATGCAATGCATTGTTCATTGTGCACCGATCAACAGAACGTTGAGAAATCAAAAAACTTCTGATGCTCTTACTCGTTTCATAACTTGCTACTTGCAGGGTGAATCGATAGATTCATTCGAAATTAGACAATTTGCTGGTGACAAGTTTTGTACAAATAGTCAACGAGATGCATCGGAGTTTCTTATAGCGCTTTGTAACAAATCAGATAGTATTCGCAATATTATTGACCATCAATTAACGACAACAATGAGATGTAAAACTTGTGGAGATACTACTACAAATACTCAACGTAATTTCATAATAACGTTACCTATTTCTTCATCTGCAAAGAGTATTAATCTGCAGATGTCAATTGATTCTTCTTTATCACATTGGCATTATATTAATGACGGTTATTGCCAACAGTGTCATGAAACTAGTAAAATTCGAAAATATTAAGTTTCATTGGTAAAGAACGTTGTTGTCCTTTAACTGTTACTTTACCGTTTTCAGGATGGGCATATGATTAAAATTGAAACTTGCAAAATCAAAGAGATTCCCACAAGTAAATTATCATTAGGTGGAAATAATTACAAAGTAACAAGTGCTGTGTTTCATCATGGACAACATCTAACCAGGGGTCATTATACAAGCATGTTAAGAGATCCTGATTCCAGTTGGATCTTTGCGGATGACTTTAATATCAGTAAACGATCTTGGCCCAGATGTGCGAAAGATGCATATATTTTTTTCTTACAGAAAATACCATAA